GCTGAAAATCCCTAATAACTTTAGTTGCTTATGACAATGTGCCAATGTATAGCAGCAAAAGGAAATAAGAAAATACTTCGTCTGAATCCACATTACAATCTCTTAGTTATGATATAAACATAACAACTTCAGATATAATCTCAGTTTCCTTATTTGTAAAAAAGAATGCTACCTTCTTGATCCCCCCTCTCTCCATCACAACACGACCAAATTTGGACAAAGTAGGAGAACATGACAGAAACGTGTTGCCAACAACAAAGTCTATGTTGTATGTAAATTATTACTCTGGATATTTTCCTTCTTATATGATAGATACTGTTGATCAGTCTATTAAGCAGAAATGTATTCAATAACCTGAAAGAGCTTGTAAAGATTAGGTAGGGTAGAGTAATACAGATTAGGGAAGAAAAAGACGTACTGAAGAGTTTTTATACTAATAATCAGATGAATACCAAGGAAGTTATAAACTAGCCATGAATAAATGGCAATATAAGAAACAAATTTAAATGTAAGCAATCCTGCTTTGCAGAGTTCTAATATGCACAATGCTCAGTTACCACAGTTTAGCTGACTGTTAACACCAGTTCACCAATAGCACAGTCCAAATTTTAGTTACTATGGTATACTAACTGTAACTGCATAAAGTACGAGTTCTGCTGCTAGTTCTTTAGTCCACAAATTACTATGTAAACAACAGCTGTACATCATGATCAATGACCAATCACATCACCTCTTTCAATCAGTGATTGGTCACTGTGCATCTGCTTTTTAGTCCTTGTACACCAAAGCATGTAGTTGTGTTGCCTTTTTAATATCCCAAGTGATAAACCCATGTCACATTTTACAGAAATAGATAACTGGAATGAGGTCATCAGCCAACAAAGTATAGCAAAAATTAAAATTAAAAGTAATTTTGCTGAGAGTGAAAATGAAATCCAATATAAACAGAAATTTAGAAGAAATACCCAACAAAAGTTTACATTGTTGCTATTGGAGACTCTAGACAGGCAGAGAAAGTTATTGAAGGCAAATTAACTAACATCTGGAAAATGACCGATGAATAGGCAGATGTCCTGAGAAAAAAAAAATCTTCACAATAAAAGATTCCTCAGAGATTGTCCAGAACATTGAGGGGCATAACAAACAAATGCTAGAAGTTAGTCCCAGGACCAACAGTTGGCATAATGGCTATTTCACTGGACTCCCATGTGGTTGATTGTGGTTTGAGTCTAGGACCTGGTGGCTTAAACTCACACCGGGTGTGGATCCCAAGAGGAGAATGGAGGAGAAGAGACTGTGGCATGGCCATTCCCCCTGGGGGGTGATTTCTCGCTTTCTGTCTGTCTCGATGTGTCTCTCTGTCTTTGGGGAGCACACGTGCCCTCTAGCAAAAATCTCTCCAATAAATAAATAAATAGAAGTTAGTACAAACTCGGAATCATGGCAAGTCACCAAGGTGTAGAAAATATTCTTACTCTCTAATTGTACATAATGAAAAGAAGGAAATTACTATTCAAACTTTTTTGGGGGGAGTGGGGAGAGATTTATTTTAGGGTGCGGGCACTCACCAGAGATGGAAAGTGAGAAATCACCCCCCAGGGGATGGCCATGCCGCAATCCCCTCTCCTCCATTCTCCTCTTGGTATTTTGGACATGCACTCACATGTGCCTGGTTGTGAGTTTTAAGTTGGTAGGTTCGGGACTCAAACCACAACTGACTATATGCAAGTCAAGTGACATAACCATTATGCCATCTGCTGATCTCTCAAACTATTCTTGAAACATTTTTACAAAGAAATAAAACAATTTAATTCTCAATATTTTTAACGTCTTAAATTACCAAGACAATTACAAGTATAATTGTCAAGGCAATTCAATAGGGA